GCACTGGAAGGTAGTTTGCGAAAACGAGGTCAAACCAACGCCATACAGGTAAAACATACCGCGACTAAACGGAAGGTTACATCATTTTTGCCTTCATATATACGATTGAAATACTTCGTTTGCACATATGGGTGGTGAAATGGCAGGTGGCATCAAGTAAACAGATCAAATCCCTCAAAATGTGAGCACGTTTGATCTAAAAAATGGCCAAACTCTTGTCTAAAAGGTGACAGTGGAAGACTTATAAATAGACCTAATTTAACCATTAATTTTAAAAAAGCAAACGACATTGTTTTCAAATTGATTTGTCTTTTCTGATACTCTCTGCTTCTAAAATAACCGACTCTCGATTCAACATTTTTAACATGGCCGTTAGCGCTTTTCTCCAGAAATGTTTATGTACACAGCCTGTAGATAAAAACTTATCAATAAATATATTTCTTCCTATTTTCTGATTTTGATCCTTTGCGGAAACTCATATGAATGCCTCAGTGTGTTTGATACTCTTTAATTTACCCTTTTGAGTTTTAGACATATGAACTTTGCTAATTTGTGTGTTGCTCAATACTTATTAATGGTTATCAGTCTTAGTAGTTCTCCTCTGTGTAAACTTGGTAACTCGTAGGCTTTTGGTAGTGATGCGCTCTTTTTATTAGTAACTTTATTATCCATCCATTTATCTCCCCGTTCCTATGCATGACTTTCAGCATTGCACGTAGGATTCTATTTATCTTTATAGTTAGGTCCTTCATTCGGACAAGATAGGTGGTTCTGTCTCAGTACAAATTTTATCTTCTTAGTATACTATTTTCTGTCCATTAAGACTGTTGCTTCTCCTTAATCTGTCCGAAGGATTAATTTTCCATTATGTTATAGAGTCCATTGTATACTCGCAAATCTGTTCATATGTGTTTGTTTATAATGTGCCAAAATCCTTGAGATTATTGTCATCTCCATTTATCGTTTTGCCTCCTCAGGAAATATGTCAGAGATCTTATTGATTTTTACCAGAATGTTTTCTAGTAGGTTTTCGTCATTTGGAAGAAAACAGTTTTGTCCTTTACTTGAAATCGTAGCGGTTTAAGGATCACGAAGAATATAGGATAATTTCACAATCTTAATTGCTAGCTGTACTGATCAGTAGGTGTCGTCGCATTTAATTCGGCGCGTAAACTTTAACACTTGTTGTTATATAATTTAGTACTAAAGCAATTTATTTACATGTCTTTTTGTTACTCAGTTAGAGGTCCTACGCGATGTCTTAAGTTGTTGAAAATCTTTCGTAATCAGAATCTTAAAGAGATCACGCCGGAGTTTTGACTTAATGTCTATAAACTTAAATATCTCGGAAACGGATACCCGAGAGAAGTAATACAAATGATCATACTGGCCGCGAAAAGCCGATAGTAGCACACGGATTATAATAGAAAGGTAAGTATGTAGAACGACTTACACAAGTAAATATGCCTCCTTTCCTGCGAACTATATCAGGAACTACCGTCAATATTAAGAAAATAGAATGTTCAGGAGACTATGAAAAAAAAACAACACTCTTTGCAAGTCTACCCCCACAAGTTGAGAGGGTGGACAAATTGGATTGCTCTGGATTTTCCATGCAAATAAGAACAAAGGATACCGAAAGATCAGAAATTGCATAACACATCGCACAGGCTGGGCACAAGATCAATTGCTTAAATATCTTGAATTATTGTTTCCTGTTATGCTAGTTCCTGCCATGTGATGATAAAACGAAAGCTCACCACGGATTTATCGTGATCGAGGGGCGGTGAGTCGACAACTTATTGTAATACTACCTCGGTACCCAGTCAGCTAAATTTATGAAATTATTACATGAGCCGTTTATAACTAACTGAGAGTTACAACACCATGTATGTGTTAAAAGCTTTTTGATAGTATACCTCTCTTAGGTTACAAGAGGGACTGTATTCTCTTCGCAGAAGATTTAATTTAGAAAATTATATGTGCATTAATATACACTTATGTGAATTCTATGGATTACATCCATGAAGATAAGGATAAGTGACTATTTTGTATTCTGGCTATTATTGTTTACCAGGCTATTATAATTAGATCCGAACTGATTGATCTGCTAAGTGAATTGTCCTAATTTCACTGCGTAAATTTTTGCCTGCTATATTAATCTTCCTATATATCCAATGCCTGCGTGTAATGATTGGTATTACCTTGCTATTCTCCCATATGAGTTTATAAAAACAAATGAATTGAAGCTTAGTGAATCTAAAATTAGAGGTTAAAGAGTGGCTACCATTAGAGAGGAAATAAAGGACCAGTAACGACAGTTGTGTGCAATGAGTAAGTTTTGAGCCTCATCAATGCAATGCCATTCTGATTAATAATGACTAATTTTGGGCTTACAATTATTTTGGCCCTTTCCTAAAGCCATCTGAAATATATACACACCCCTTTTAATTGTTGCTTGTCCGTAATAAATAAAAATAACCTAAAATATATATATATATAGCAAAGCCACAAAATGTACTAATATTTGCATGTAAAACTGAATATACACCAATGCCAATCACAATTAGTGTGATAAATTGAATTTATATTTTATGATTAATTCTAATAGTCGTATATATCCCAAATCTTAAATGAATTTACTACAGAAAATGTATACTAAATTTATATTACTTATTCTTTATTTTAGCATTTTACTTTTGCCTATTCATAATAGACTTATTTACTTTATTGTTATGTCTTTCTTTTGTTAATTGTCACTTGTTCCAAACCACCCTTCCAGAAATCCCGCACGCTCCGACCTGCTCTAGTTATGGCAACGCCGTCCATGTCTCGGGGGCAGCTTGCGTTTGATGAATTTGGTAGACCTTTCATCATACTTCGCGACCAGGAAAAAAAAAAAAGACTTACTGGGATTGAAGCACACAAAGTAACCCCCTCAGCTCTTTATTTTCTTAGTCTCATATCCTAGCAGCTAGATCTGTCGCCGACACTCTCCGCACTAGCTTGGGCCCTAAAGGTCTGGACAAATTGCTTGTGAGTCCAGACGGAGATATCACGGCGACGAATGATGGCAGAACTATTCTCGAAAAAATGGATGTCGAACATGAAATCGCCAAGTTGCTCGTTGAGCTAAGCCGCTCTCAGGATGATGAGGTCGGCGATGGAACTACTGGGGTTGTAGTCCTTGCGGGTGCTCTTCTTGAACAGGCTGAGCAATTGCTAGACCGTGGGATACATCCCATCCGTATTTCCGATGGTTATGAAATGGCTGCCAGAACGTGTCTTACGGTTTTGGACAAC